TCCTCTCCCTTTCTCTCCTCTCCCCTGTCTATCCTCTATCCTCTCCCTTTCTCTCCTCTCCCCTGTCTATCCTGTCCCCCCGTCTATCGTCTGTCCTCTCCCTTTCTCTCCTCTCCCCTGTCTATCCTCTGTCCTCTCCCTTTCTCTCCTCTCCCCTGTCTCTCCTCTGTCCTCTCCCTTTCTCTCCTCTCCCCTGTCTACCCTCTGTCCTCTCCTCTCCCCTGTCTATCCTCTATCCTCTCCCTTCTCCCAAGACAGAGCCACCTGCTTCCCTGAACTTCAGGGTGGAAACAGACAACAATGCCGGCTTTCTAAGGAGCTCTTGGTGCCCCTGACACCCGACTCCATGGTCTCAAAGCCTTTTGTTCTGCCAGCCTGACCTCATGTCCCTCTCGCCAACAGTACCATAAGAAAATGGCACCCCCGCTGCCCTCAGTGACTCTGTATAGGAAAGGAATTGTGCAATCATTTGAAAAACTAAAACAAAACATTGTGCAACTACTGTTTTTTGTAAAAGCTGGCAGTCTGTTGGTATTGATATTTCGTACTTGTAGTTCAGTATTTTCACTGCTGTGCTACACCCTGGTGGGTTAACTCAGCTGTGAAGCCCCCTCCTCCCACCAGACACGGACCACTGCTAGTGAAGATGAGGCACTGGAGGAAGAGCAGCATGTTCAGGAAGTGCTGTGCTCTCTGACAGGAAGCCACAGAGAGTCCAGCAGCATGATGATGCCAAACGTATATCACACCGAAGACAGTGTGGCAGCCAGCCTCAGCACTGCGCTCGAACCCCTGCACTATCTGCGCCCCAGAGCACCTGCTCCCCCAAGAGCAGCGCCTCTTCGCAAAAGGGCCTGCTGGGAAACCTGACCCGCCCCTGCCGAAGGTCAACGAAAGGCTCCTGGTCCCGAAAAGCTGGAGCACAAATGCAGATGGGTTGTGTGGAGGGGGCAGCTGGAGGAGGAAAATCGAATGAGGATCCATTTAGGGGAGGGGGGGGTTGGTGACCCACAGCCCACAGAGGACGAGTCCATTCCTGATACAGGAGACTCCCAGGGCTCCAGAGAGACTGGGAGGCACAGGCCCCAAGGGAAACAGCACTCCCAAGCTGTGGGCAGTGTTTATACACAAGCGCACCTTCTCGAGGCACTGTGCCTCCATCCACTGCATACGAAGCATCAGAAGATGCTCATCCCTTAGAAGTACAACAGGTTTTTCCAAAGATAAGAAGAAATCCATACATTTACATAGCATCTAAAGCATCTCAGAGAGCTGCACACAGTGTGGTACGCTCTCCCTGCAGGCTGGGAATAGTTCATCCCGTTCTGTTCCCAGTGTCCCCTCTGCTTGTGAAATGTCACATCCTGCCCAGCTAGACACGTTTGTCTATCCAGGCACCAGCGTGTCGGTGGCAGGAAGATCATATGCTCTCGACAGCACATGGGTGCCTGTCTGAGGTTTTCTCTCTCTCGATGGTCACCAGGCGTGGTGCTCGGCCCACTAACTCGCCTCGCCACCGCTGTAAAACCAGCTCTTTCTCTCTCTCTAACGAGCAGATTTCACGCTGCAGCAGTCAAACTCACGCGTGTGCGACACAGTCAGTCACGCATGATCAATCAATCAGAACGACAGCAAGAACAGTTAACCCAGTTTCAGAACCGCCCTGCTGGTTCCGCCCAGCACAGTGACGGGAAGACTGAAAGAACGACCTCTGACCTTTCCCAGGGGAAGCAGGTTACCCCTGGGCCCCCCCTGAGTCGCAGGTGAAATCAATCGATGAAACAATTATTTTTTTTCCATACAGTACATTCTAGGGCTCTAACAAACTAACATGAGAAACACACCTGTAAGTACGCTGTGTTCTACAATTAAACAGACATCTGAATTATTGGGCGGCACAGTGGAGCCCAGCCCTGGGCCCCGAGTTCAATCCCTGACCTGGGGTGCTGTCTGTGTGGAGTTTGCATGTTCTCCCCGCGTCTGTCTGGGTGTCCTCTGGGAGCTCCAGTTTCCTCCCATAGTCCTAATGCATACAGGTAAATTAATTGGTTACTGGGAAAACTGGCCCTGGTGTGCATGTCTGTCCTGCAATGGACTGGTGTCCGGGGTGTGCCCAACTTCACACCCATTGCTTGCTGGGGTAGCCTCTAGGTCTCCCCCACAACCCTGAATTGGAAATGGAAGAACGGATCTTAAGTCTCCAGACTCGGATGACACAGCCGAGGACTAGCTCAAGTACGAGGACGAGCCAGAAGTGTTGGTAAGGCATCGCTTTTAACTAGGGAGAAACTGAACGCAGGGAACAGGACTTGTGAGCCACAGCTCTAGCAATCAGGGGAGCTCATTAACCGCTGGGGCTGTGTGTGTTATGAGCGTCATGTCAATTGTGGGCAAGAAGAACAGACAGACCACCTCCCCACACACACACACACTTCCGCTGAAAGGCTTAAATAACACCAAACTCCGCTGCAAATTCAAAAGGGGAACAAGAGTTCTGAAGCCACACCAAGTCTCATGTGAAGGCAAGGCAAGGCAAGTGGAACATTTGCGCAGGAGTGACGACCCTCTCCGGAGACATGGTACGTACTGCTCTCCTGCAAGAGCCGCCCGTCTCAAAAACGTTGCAAAGGCCCGGGACAGACCCACAAGACCGTGGGAAAGCGGGGAGCAGCTGTGAACTGATTTCATCAGGTATGGACCAGATAGGAATGTGGTTCCAACCCCATCCCATCAGGCCCTTCCCAGATGGAGCCGCAGTCCGGCTCGGCGGGCTGCCTTGAAGCCCCAGGCTTCTCGTCTCACCGGAGTTCTGACCCAGTCGGGCCGGCCCGTGACAGACGGCCCGCTCTCCGAGGTGTTGATCAGCACCTCCTCGCGTCCTCCATCCCGGCGCCCAGCGGGCGAGGCGCACTCTGCCCTCGCTAAGGGTTATATCTAAGCTGCTTTCAAGGTTTGTTTTTGCTGTGGGTCTCTGGGCTGGTCCTGCCCGAGAGGAAGAAGCAGGGGTGCAGTGCGTACTTGCTGAAGAGTGAGGCACAGACAGAAACTTACGTTTACTGGCAGGCGTCAAGAGCACCACCAGTGCTATTGTCCCCAAAGCTCACGTGTCAAGGTTTTTCTGCCTCTCAGTCTATAATTCACATTTAACAACGAGAAAAAATGTAAAATAGACACACTGAGTGAATTCATTCGGACTATCGAAACATACATACCTTTTCCATCCATGCTGTCCGGTGACGATTAATATTAAAGGAAGTGCGTTTGTGTATCAGAATATATCGACTAGCTATTCGTACCGATAGATTTGAACGTGCGCGGGGCCTGATGCAGACGAGCGCCGAGGTGTGGACTCCTCACCAGTTGATATTGTGGAGTCTGCACGAGGGCGTCGGCTGTGCTCCAGGGAACGCCAGCTCGGGCGCACGCGTGCTCCTGGTGGAACAGGCCGAGTCGCTCGATGGGGGGAGGAGGGCGCCAGCTGTGCACCCCAAAACAAGGCGGCGCCCCATGAGGAGCCACTCTGGCGCCTGCCTGCCCGCCGCTCTGAATCAGACACGGGCTTGTCCAGACAAGTAGAGAGGAGACCGAGCGCCGATCCTCTGACCTCCTCTCCGCAGGCTTCTCCGCGAGGCGCGGCCGCTCTCCCGGGGTTCCTGGCCGTCCTGGTGTCCCTGCTGCCCCCCGGAGCCGCCACGTACCCCCCCTTCCTGCCCTGCGGTAGCCCGAGCCCCCAGACGGTGGACTGCGCGGCCCACGGCCTCACGCGGGTGCCCCTCTTCCGCGCGCCCACGGGGGCGGTGACGGCCCTCCTGCTCTCCGGCAACCACATCTCCCGGATCCCGGCCGACGCCTTCGCCCTCTTCCGCCGCCTGGAGACCCTGGAGCTGCAGTGGAACGGCCTGCTGCGCCCCGGCGTTCCCAAGGCCGGCGGCCCCATGGTGCTCGCCCCGCGGGCCTTCGAGCCGCTGGCCCAGCTCCGGAGCCTCGACCTGCGGGGCAACGGGCTGCGGGCCGTCCCGCTCCTGCCCCCCTCCCTGCGGACCCTCGACTTGAGCTACAACCGGCTGCTGCTCCTGGAGCCCCCGGCCCGCCCCCCCGCCCTGGCCGCGCTGCAGACGCTCCGCCTGGACGGCAACTGCTACTACAACAACCCCTGCGGCCACAGCCAGGGGGCGCCGCGCGGCTTCCTCGCGGGCATGGGCCGGCTGCGGGAGCTCTCGCTGGGCCACAACAACCTCACCGCGGTCCCCGGGGGCCTCCCGGCCGGCCTCAGGAGGCTCGCCCTCCACTACAACCAGATCTCGGCCGTGGCCCCGGGAGACTTCGGCCAGCTGGCGCGGCTGAGCTCCCTGGACCTCAAGGGGAACTGCCGGCGGTGCGAGCACGCCCCGAGCCCCTGCATCAAGTGCGCCCGCAGCGCCCTGCACCTGCCAGCCGGCTGCTTCGCAAGCCTGGGCTCCCTGAAGAGCCTGAACCTGTCCGACAACTCCCTCGCCTCCCTTAACGACTCCGTCTTCGCCCCCCTGCGGGGACTGGAGGAGCTGCTCCTGAGCGACAACCTCCTCTCCCGGACATCCCCCAACGGCAACGATCTGGTCCTGGGGAGCCCGGCCTTCCGCGGCTTTCCCCGGCTGAGGTCCCTCGACCTCTCGTACAACTACAGGCGGTTCACCGTCTTCCGGAGGCTGGCCCTCACCGAAGACTTCGCGGGCCTGGCGCGGCTGCAGAGCCTGCAGATCACCGGCTGCTTTTTCCAGTCCGTGGACAATGCCTCCGTCGCGCCCTTGGCCGGCCTCCCCGAGCTGCGCCTTCTAAACCTCCGGCTGAACTTCATCAAGAACATCGAGCTGCACATCTTCGACAGCCTGGCTGGCCTGAGCTACCTCAGGCTGTCGGACAACGAAATCAGCTGCACGCGCTGCCGGGGAGCCCCAGGAAAGAGACCGGGGCTCCCCGACCATCGTCTGACCCCCGGCTCTTCCCTCCAGGCGAGAGGGCTCATCGCCCCCGAGCCGCAGGTGGGCCTCCCTTTGCCAGAGAGCTGCACCGGGCGCGAGACGCTGAATTTGATGAGGAACAACCTCGTCTACGTCCAGAAGGAGCTCTTCGAGGGGTTCGAGCGCATCGAGTGCCTGATCCTGTCCCACAACAGCATCAGCCAGTCCTTCAACGGCAACCAGTTCATCCTCCTGAAGAGGCTGAAGCTGCTGGACCTCTCCTACAACAGGATCGACTTGTACTACAAGGCGGCCTTCTCCGAGCTGCCCAGCCTGGAGGTGCTGGACCTCAGCAACAACAACTACCACTTCCAGCTGAGTGGAATGGGCCACAGGCTGGACTTCATCGCTGGGCTGCCCTCCCTCAGGCTCCTGGACCTGGGCTTCGACTCCATCAGCGACCGCATCAGCACGGCGCTGGCCAGCTCTTCCCTGAATAAGCTCGTCTTCAGGCACAACCGCCTGCAGGACATGTGGAACAAGAAGATTTATTTCCAGTTCTTTCGGAATCTCACCAACCTAACCAGCCTAGACCTGTCCAACAACCTGCTGACTCGCATCCCGCCTGAAGGGATCTACCATCTTCCCCCAACCTTGAGGGACCTCAACCTCAAGTTCAACAAGCTCACGTCTTTCCCCTGGGAGGCGCTGAGCGCCTTTCCGTGCCTGGAGATCCTGGATCTGAGCTACAACTGGCTCTCCACCCTCTCCCGGAGCCTCCATCCCGGCAGCTACATCCCCCCGGACTCCGGCCTCCGGAGCCTCAACCTGTCCTCCAACAGGATCCACGCCATCGACCGGGACTTCTTCAGGAACGCCACGGCGCTGGCCAGCCTGCTCCTGAGCGACAACCAGCTGGAGCAGCTGGACTTCGACAACTTCCTGCTGCAGCGCCTGCGCGTGCTGGACATCCGCTGGAACCGCCTGGTCTGCACCTGCGACTCCTCCTTCTACGAGCTCTTCGGCAACTTCAACTTCTCCGTGCCCGCCCTGACCAGCCAGGTGACCTGCGGCTCGCCGGACAAGCTGAGGGGCCGCAGCGTCTTCAGCCGGGACGCCCCGCTCTGCCCCGGCAGTCGCAACATGGCCGCCTTCCTCCTCTCGCTCGCGCTGGCTCTCCCTCTGACCGCCCTGCCGGTGCTGAGGCAGGTGCTGGGCTGGGACGCCTGGTACGCCTTCTACGTCTGGGTGGCCAGGGCCTGGGGCCTCTTCTACAAGGGCGGCGAGGGCTCGGCCTACGACGCCTTCGTGGCGTTCGACAAGGAGCAGGAGAGCGTGGCGGACTGGGTGTACAACGAGCTCAGGGTGCAGCTGGAGGACAGCGGGGCCCAGCGCTTCCGGCTGTGCCTGGAGGAGAGGGACTGGCTGCCAGGGCGCTCCTCCATCGAGAACCTGCACGAGGCGGTGCAGGGCAGCAGGAAGACCGTGTTCGTGCTGCCCAGGGCCGGGCCGGCCGGCGGGCTGCTGCGGGAGGCCTTCTTCCTGGCGCAGCAGAGGCTGCTGGAGGAGCGGGCGGACGTGGCGGTCTTCGTGCTGCTGGAGAAGGGGCGGCGCGGGAGCCGCTACCTGCAGCTGCGCAGGCTGCTCTGCCGCGAGACCGTGCTGCTGTGGCCGCAGAACCCCCAAGCCCAGGGCTACTTCTGGCACCGGCTGCGCTGCGTCCTGGGCCGGGACATCCAGGCCAGCTACGACCGCAAGTTCAGCCTCAGCTTCGAGGCCTAGCGGGGCCTCACTGCCTGCCTGCCTGCTGGGGCCCAGCTCCATTCACTCCCGATCCCGGAGCGGCGGGCCGGGCCAGGTTTTCTAGGCAGCTTGGAAACTTCAGTGAGCCGGGCTGTGGGGAGAGAGAGACACTGACCAGGTGGACGACTGACCCAAACCCCGGGGGTGGAGTGGAAAAACCTGAACGGACTGTGGCCCTCCGGGACCAGGAGGTGAGAGGGGTAGATGCAAGGGAAGTTCAGAGACGTGGGGAAATGTCATGGTGCCATCAGAGTTCCTGCCAAGACCTTAAGGGCCCAAACATGTTGAAGCTCAACCCCGCGACTGATCTGCTCTGGCTGGACTCGACGCCTCTCCGGTCCCGTTAACAGGCACGTGAATCCAGTAGCGTTGGGTGCCCAGCTTCTCTCTCGCTCCCCGGCTTAAGGAAGAATGTATATCTCTCTTGAACAACAGAACGATGGCGTACTTACGGGGCTGATCTGTTTCACGTGGAGTTTGTTACAAAGGCTGGGGACAGATGACAACAGCCACCAACACCAAGCGCCACCGACCTCAGCTGTCAGTAATTTCCAATCACTCCGACGATTTTTCTTCCAGAAAACATCAGGGATCCTGTTCATAAAGCCCCTTCTCTCCCTCGTATTCATGCGCTTGCCTCTCCTCACTGCAGGGGGGTCCCAACCCCTTTAGTGTTCCCTGCGACTTGCTCAATAAACCTTTCAACTCACTTCCTTCCTGGGTGTCGTTATTCCTAGCGAATTTCGGTTTAGCCTCCTACCTTTGTTTTACCTTGTTTTACCTTTGTTGGACTGTAGCTACCCGACAGTCCATCAATAAGCCAGTCCCCTGCGGAAATCGTCCTGTGTGTGCCAGTCAAACAAAAAATCATTCACAACTCCCTGGGCGTGCATCTCCAGCGCACCAGGCTGCTAGCCGGGCTATACAGCCCTCCTCAAACTGACACGAATGAAAAATGTGAGTGTGGTTAAACCAGCGGTTTACTCCAGCGTCTTGTTTGGTGTACAAGGTGAAAACACTGAGGCCCTCCAAGCCCTGCCTCTGTGCTCCTTACCCTGTACGACCACAAACTCTGAACACCGATGTCTGCCGCTTTGATCAAATAACTCCATGAACTGATGAACGGCTTTGAAATGTTGCCCCCAATTAATTCATACAGTGTCCTTCATGCATTACTATCACTGCCCCGCGTGAAGACATCAGTTCTGTTGTACCTAACACATACACAAAAATAAGAGCTGCTAACAGACTAGATTTCTGAGGCAGGGTGAGGGAGGGGACAGTGCCTGCATGTTCTTCCCTCTCAATCCATCATCAGGAAGCTGTTTATCCCAGGAGCACAGGGCATACAAAGGAATGCAGGGACAATTTAAGACCTCGGTCAAACCAGTGAGCTTCTTTTAGGAGATGGGAGGGAGGACAAAACCAGGGCACCCAAAACATAACCGGTGTGGAAAGGGGCAGAGCATGCAAGCACCATAGAGACCGGCTCCCCCCACTGGGACTCGAACCCAGGACCCGAGAATTGAGAGGCAGCGGTGCGAGTACACAGACAGAGTGGCAGCCGACGGCTTGAGATCTTTATTCTGCTCGGTGACTCAGAGGGTGAGACAGCTGGGCAGCGCGCTGGCAGACAGGACAGGGCAGGGGCTAATCCGGGCCCTGAAGGTACAGTGTCTGGGCGCGAGGGAGCAGCTGCCGGGTCAGATGAAGCCGGCATTCCCAGCCCATCTCTTCCAAACCCTGCAATCGGAGTCTGATTCTGCTGTACAACATATTACACTTCATGCTTTTCAGAGGCAAATATACATAAAACAAAGGCTTGAACATCCTATTTCTGGAACACAGTTATTATTGGTCACTACAGTCTCAGCTTGCTTATTCCAGTTATGAAATAATGTGCAAACCTCAAAAAAGAAGAAGTAAGGAGATGATTAGCCTGGCCTATTTTACAATATGGCTTAGGTCTACATACTTGTATAAATGTGACATTATGATAGGTAGTAGTAATAATTACATAGTAGTAGCAGTAATCTGTGTACTCTTCCCATCATGTATTAAAACAATAAAATACACCGCAAGTGCCTCACAGCCTAGCACCAGGCAGCAAGGCGCCACATTCACACGCAAAACAGAACTATAAAGGGGAAGCCGAAGGCCAGATGGTTCCGAGAAATATAATAAGAATTACATATAAATACACGTGAACCACAAGAACGATCTAAATCTAGAAACCGTCAGAGCTGACACCAACAGTGCGTGTCCACAGAACACTGCCGTGTGCAATTATAAAGAACATTAAAAACATCACAAGGAGCAGAAGGGCTCTCTGCACGCCCAGCCTGTACAGCAATTAAATGATCGATCTGATCTCATTCAGCTTTCTCAAAGGAAACCCAGCTGCACTGCCTGTACCAGGCTCCCGCAGCTCTTTGTGTAAAAAAAGCACCTCTGTTCTCCGTCCTCAATGCACGTCCTTGTAACGCGCTGACCTCGAACCTCAGAAGAACCTGTGCGAAGATTGCACACAATTCCCAGGTAAAAAAAAAAAACAAACACTTACCTGCTCTGTCTGGAGACAGAAGGAGCATCTCTTTTCAGTTTTTTTGTCAATTTATTGTGGATTTTTTTAAAACGTACAGTTAGGACAAACAGTAAATTTAACGCAGGGAAAACAGAAATTGTCGTACCTATTTACAGAACCAGTGTCGCAGAGACAAACCCGTAACTCTGTTCATACCCCCTGGACCGGTAGATTCTGTCCATCAATGTTCGGGGTCACTTCACCTCAGCTCTGCGGCACCAAAGCTCGGTCCACTCCCCCAGCAGAAAACCGGGCAGCAGAGAACTGGGGAGAGGGCGCAGTATAAGCAGCATCCCGCTGACAGGCAGAGATTCAGTCTCACACAGCAAAGAGTTCACCAGGGGTCACTCAGTCGGTCAGCCGGTCACAAGGTTTGGAGAAAAGCCCACTTCCGCAGAGGCTGGAGGCCAAGCGCTTCCTGGACCAGAGTGGGTGCCGAGGCGTGCGAGAAAGCCTGCCTTCAGGACTCGGGACTTGACAGCAGAGCAGTCTCAGGACAGCAGGAGGGGGTTCAAGGATCGACAGCGCAAACTGGACAGTGCAAACCTCGAGGGAGGGTACAACCGGGGATCGCGGAACGGAAGGTCACAGATCCCGAGGTAACGAGCGGCGCACGGAGGGAGTCTGGGCTGAAACGTCAACGATATGACACGTGGGACTCGTCGGGCGGTTTAGGTGGAGCTAGCAGAGAAACCCTTCACTTAGCAAGATCGTGTCCCCCCCCCGTCAGCATACGCGTTAATGAGGAACACTCAGAGACGGCTCTCCTCTCGGAGGCGGCACATTCAACACGAAGATGAACCACATTCCGGCACACGCAAATGAGGAAAACAAGGAACCGGGAGAACTACAGCATTAGGAGACCTGGCCGTCAGAAGTTTGGAAAAATAGTTAATAAAAGCAATCTTTACATCAGACGCTACAAAATATGAAACCGTTATATTTTACATAACTTTTTACATAGAAATATAACACCTAACTTGGGACTGGCACACAGGGTTGTTCTGACAACGTGCACTAACCCAGGCTGTGTACGCATGAAAGACAGACCCTGCGCTTCTGGAACTTGTCTTTTGATGACCCCCGCGCGCGCCATGCTCTCGCATCTCGGGGCGACCCGCCCCGCCTGCGCCCCCCCTCCGCGCTGCGGGGACGGAAGATGGGACTCCGAGGCTCATCTCCGCCGGGGGGGACTGGGGATGGGGGGCATCCGGGTGTTCCGCAGGCTTGGAAATCCCGGGAGAGGGATGCGGGGGGGGCAGGCAAGGACGATGATGCGGCATAGCGCCGGGAGCGGGAAGCTCGTGTGCAGATCTGTGCGCGCTGGAGGTGTGGGGGGGATGGGAGAGGGGGGGGGGCTGTCCGGTGGCCCCCCCTTCTCCCGGCCGGACTACTTGCACAGAGACTCCAGCGTGTCCAGGGTGCGCTTGAGGTCGCGGATCTGTTTGGCCAGGCCGTGGATCGGCTGCATGGAGCGATCCAGCTCCTCGCAGCGCGCCATCAGGGTGTACATGCCCTGCAACGACAGCAGGCGGCCAGCGGGACATCAGCAACGCGGGCCGGAGGAGAAGAGCCCGGCTCGTGCCAGGTGACCGGACACCACACCATCAAGATCGGCTCCGTTTACCGACTAAACCAGGTAGATCACAAGTCGGGTGACAATATCCCACTTCTTCAAAAACAATCCTTACACTTCTATAGCGCCTTTCTGGACACTACAGCCAGAGCGCTTTACAGGTCACGGGGATCCCCTCCACCCCCTCCACCCCCACCAGTACACTCCCCACACACCAGCTCTCAGTGGGGAGGAGAGTAGAGTGATGGAGCCAGTTCAGAGAGGGGGGTTATTAGGAGGCCATGACTGGTAAGGACCAATGTGGAAATTTGCCTGGTAACACCCCTACTCTTTTCGAGAAACACCCTGGGAGTTTTAATGACCACAGAGAGTCAGGACCTCGGTTTCTCATCCGAAGGACGGCGCCTTTTTACAGTGTAGCGTCCCCCGTCACTATACTGGGGCATTAGGACCCACACAGACTGCAGGGTGAGCGCCCCCTAGTGGCCCCACTGACACCTCTTCCAGCAGCAACCTCAGCTTTCCCAGGGGTCTCCCCTCCAGGTACTGGCCAGGCTCACACCTGCTGAGCTCCAGCGGGCTGCCAGCTGCGAGTCGCAAGGTGATAGAGCTGCTGGCTATTCTTGGCAGGATTATGAGCGGCTAGCCCATCTGATACACCCTACATTGTTTTACCTGTTGTATATTGCACACACCTGGTTTTAAGATGAGCCTTATCAAATAATCATTTCCATGTGCAATCACTTCACAGTCAAGAATGTAAACGGCAGTGCAGGTGAGCTGATTCGCAGTTAACTGAGCTCCTAGCTCTGGCCTGATCATGCTGGCTCCAACAAAGTACCCAACCCAAGTACAGGCCAGGCTTAAGAGACACACTGGCAGCCTGAATACCACCCGCACATCGAAAGGCATTTTTCTGGAGCTCATTTAATCAAAACCCACTGTGAAATTGAATTATCCAGAAGAAAAAAACCTGGTTATACCTATACAGTTAGTCAGAAGAATATGGCGGTATTCCCCTTTAAGAACAGAAGCGCCTGCAAGAACCCTCCCTCATTTTAAAGCGAAGAGTAAACAGAATTGCAAGCACTGAACCTCCGAGGACAGACAGACAGATGTGAGCCGTTTTGCTCCCACAGGGTAATCGGAGCTGTTCTGGTTTTTGGCAGAAGACAACGGTGGGGGGGAGGGGGATGGGGGGGGGAGTTTGGCTCAGGACTGGCCAGCGCCTTCAAGCCAGACAGAGTCTCACCTTTATGCTCATGTCCACAGACTCGCCCAGGCTGTCCACAGAGTCCCTGTACGTCTGGATGTATCCCACACTTAGGGCGGTCATCTGCAGAGAGACACACAGACGAATCAGCCTGAAGAGAATTTCAGTGGCTGGCACTGCAGCCTGGCAGCGCTGGGGCCCTGGGCCCCATTCCAGATCTGGGGTACCGTCTGCAGGGAATCTGTTTGCTCTCACCATGTTCGTGAGAGTTTCCCCTGGGTGCTCCAGCTTCCTCCCACAGTCCAGAGACCTGCTGGTGGGTTAAACTGGCATCTGGGAAAATTGGCCCTGGTGTGAGTGTGTGTGAGTGTGTGTCCTTGCAATGGACAGGGGTCCCGTCCAGGGTGACCCCGTTTCTAGCCAGGACAGGCTACAGCCCCCCCCGACCCTGAATTGGATGAAGTGATTAAAATATAAACAGGCGGATGGTGTTTCACATCCAGCATCAGTGCCAACAGCCTACTTGTTTGCACATACACAGACAAACAGGAGTCAGCTGTGCGTAGATTCAGTTTCCTGTCTGTGCTTCTGCAGGTCTGCTCGCTGTGCCTGCAGGCCCAAGACTCAGTCAATGCAGTCACGCGCACGCCTCCTGGGGGTCTGGTAACACTGGTTTTTCTTCAAGGTTAGTGGAGTTGCACTGAGACCACATTCAGACCAACGGCCCGATTCACAGAAAACCACGACAGGTAACATTTCAGGTGCTCAATACTTATACTGCTTCGTGCAAGCTACTCCCAGGAGTTCAAGCAAGGAGCTGCGTCAGCATGCGCTGGCTGCAACAGAACAGGTCAACTTTATCCCACGCTGAAGAGAGAAGAGACATAACGTTTCGGCCGTGGAGCCTTCTTCACGTGTGACATGTTGGGTCTCTTTTCTTTTCCTGTCAGTATGGAATAAAGCTTCACCTGTTCCGTTACTCCCAGGAGTGTCAGAACTCCTGACCGACACCGCGGGAGTTTCCCAACTGGAATACGGCTTACTCCAGGGAGGGGGGGGGCGGAGAGCCCGGCGGGCAGACTCACGTTCTGGATGGTGCTGTTGAGGCTCCGCATCATGAGCTCCACGCTGTGTGCCACGTCCTGCGTGTGTCTCTGCAGGTCCAGCAGCACCCCGGGGTCAATGGGAGGGATGTCTGCCAGCTTCCTCTGAGGCCCCCTGCTCCGCACTGAGCTGTCCGCTGCGGGGGGTGAGAGGGGTGGGGGGAGGGGGTGAGGGCAGAGGAACAACAAGAGAAGGGGGAGTGAGACGGCATGGCGGAACAGCACCCCCCTCAAACCACAGGCAGGGTCTCCGTCTACCACCGCCGCGGCCTCAGTCCGCACAGGACCCTGGATGGCCCGCTGGCCCCCCTGAAACAAAAAGCCCACGACAAGCTCACGCCGCTGGCGGTTCAGGAAGCAGAGCGGATTCACGGGGACAACGCCAGACGCTGAGAGTTTTGTTTTCTCCTCTGCTGGGCTGCTGGGCTCGGTGCTGCTCCCTTGAAAGCGTCCCTCTCAGCTTCTCGGGTGGGGCTGGTGGGTTTCTTTTGCCCGGACGATGCCGACTGAGGAAACGCAGCCCCCCTCCTGCCCCCCCCGCCCCGCTAACCTGCCCCCCCACCCCTCCGCTGCACTCACAGTCCAGGCTCTGCCGCGAGCTCATCTTGATCTTCTGCTGCAGGTTGTTGGCGACGAAGTGTGTGAGATCGCCGTCGTGGCTCACCGTGCCCTCCAGCTCCAGGGCGCTGGAGATCGTGGCCCTGCGCCCCTCGGCCCCGGGGCCCTGCCTGTCCCGGCCCCGGGGCCCCGCGCACACCTGGCTGATCCCGTCCAGGCTCTTGCTGTCCTGCAGCCTCCCCACGATCCTCTCCCGCTCCCCCCGCGGCAGGGCAGCGCCCCCTGCTGGTGCGTTGCGCACGTGCACCTGGGCCATGACGTGCGGGGGGCAGGCAGGCAAACTGGGGGCCCGCAGGGGCCCCTGGTTAAAGGGGTTCACTCTGTTCTTATTCTGTGGGGAACTAGGGGAGCCCCGCTCATCCTCCTGGTCTCTGGGGTCCCCCGCGCTCCTGGGCAGGTCCTGGCTCTGAAGGCAGGAGGCCTGCAGGTCACTCAGGTCTTCCACAGTCTCCGTGGGCGTGCTGCTGCTGGCTGTACTGGGCTGCAGAGGAGACGCAGAACTGGTTACAGACGTCACAGCTGAAGTGTGAGGCGGACACACCGGACAAGAACACTTCTGCCAACATACCCATCCACCCACTTCCCAACTGCTCCTTGCAATTCAGGGCTGCTGGGGGGCCGGAGCCTATCCCAGCGAGGCACGGGCACAAGGCGGGGGGCGCCCCAGGCAGACACACACGCTCACACTCACACTGGGGCCAATCTTCCCAGAAGCCAATTAAACTACCGGTAAGTCTTTGGACTGTGGAACCAAACCCACTCGGACATGGGGAGAACATACGAACTGCACGCAGACGGCACCCCAGGTCGGGGACTGAACCTGGGGCCCAGCGCCGAGAGGCAGCAATGCTGACCTCCACAACTCCTGCTACGACATTATCAAAAATCAAGCGATGGTTTCCGGTGGCTCATGTGGTTTGTGAGAGCGCCCGGCCCCTCACCTCGGGAGTGTCTTCACTTCCTTCCGGATCTTCCTCCTCTCCCAGCTCCTGCCCCGGGGGGTCCGGCTCCGCGGCCGCAGCGTTCTGGCACGGCCTGCTGCCCCTGCCCCCGGCTCGGCCATCTCGGAGGGGGTC